TACGTAAAAAATAACTAAAATTAAATTTAAAAATTAAAGTTAGGTCTGGCCAGTTAGCTCAGCAGATTAAAGTGCCTGCTTCGGTAGAGTGCAGCAGCAGGGGGTTCAATCCCCAGCATGCCGTGCCGGCCCCACCCCTGGAGGCACTGAGAAGACAATTAGGACTAGGCATGGTGGTGCACACCTATAATCCCAGCACTTGGGAGGCTGAAAACAAGAGGATCACTATGGGTCTGATCTGTGTAATGAGACCCTGTACTAAATACATTAAAAAAAAAGAAGAAAGAAAAAGAAAAAGAAAGAAAAGAAGACAAAAGGAAAGCATGAAGATAGAAAGTCCCCATAAGACTACCACCATCATCATTGTTTCGGGAAAGATCCACTGATGGGTGCTAAAATTAGTGGGCAAAATTTTAAGAAGAAAGAATATATGCGCAGTCTGAACATATCTCTCCCCGTTACATATATTAATTACCAAAGGTACTTCCGAGGTTGGGGAAGCGGGGAACCCTTTGTTAAAGGGTTTTCCCTTTAACAAAACCAGCAAAGATAAAATGCAATGGCCTCAGACATCCCCTCATGTGGTGCATGAAGGTCATTATTCCTAAATTATTCTTTCCAAAAATGCATAACTTCAAGCTAATTTGGGAAAGCGGGAGACAAATCAAATTAAGGGACATTCTGCCTCGTTCTCATCAAAGTGTCAAGAACAATGGAGGAAAAACTATAGAATTGTCACTGATTGAAGAGATAGAGATGTTCTACAGACTCAGGCTGGACACCAACGACCTGAAAGTCACGGAAAAAAACCCCAGAAAGACAAACAGTAGCCTCAGGTTGGCCACCTGCAGCCCCGCTCTGCACCTGCCATGCAGGGGCCCCAGGCGATGGCGCCCCTCTCCTCGCTGACTGGCCACAGCCAGGGGCACTGCCACTACCAGCAGCCTGCTCCTGGGACTGCTGCTGTGCACTCCCACGGTCCTGTTCCTGTCCTGTGAGAGGTAACTGCCAGCCCTGCCCGGGCAGGGGGCTGCGGCTGCCTGGTGCGGGTGGATGGCTTGGTGCCAGCTGGCATGTGCGCTCTTTTCTTTCCTACGGGATCTAGCACTTCAGAGCTACTGCTCTGATCCTAAAGGGTGGAGGCTGGCCTGGGAGAAAATTCCCTTCTTATATAGTCCCTGTGTCAGGTCTAGGATTCAGCCCTTCTCCAAGGAGCACTGGAAAATGCCCTCTTTTCGAGGGCGTATGATCCCGGCCTCCAGGCTCTTTGGCAGATGTCAGCCCCTGAGTCTAAAGGTGACCGTCCAGCCTATCTCCACCATGCCAGCTCTATCCTACTGTCCTGCCCTTCTTACGGACGGCCTCTCCACCCTGACCACTATAAGGTGAGCACCTCAAGCATAGGAGACGGCATGAGTCTCCTCTGGTTCCAGAACCCACAAAATGACTCTGAACTGGGGAGCTGTCACCAATGTCCGGGTCCTAGAGATAGGGGAGGTTATCTGTGAATGGGGCTTAGCCCGGCCCACTTGTAGCCCTCCTTGCCTGGGCCTGGATGCCCTCCACGTGGACCTGCTTAGGCTTTAGCACAGGGTAGCTTCCCAAGTCCTTGAGGCCCACCTGCTCCACATCCTGTGAGAGCCACAGCCTGGCTGCAGGCCGCTGGAGAACGAGCTACCAAGGGACAGCTGTGCCCTGCCTCTTTGGGGGCCTCCCTAGCAGGTCTGGGACGTGGTGTGGCACAGGGCTGATCTGTGTTTACCTTCACCTGGCTGTAGGTGATCTTCAAAGCCTGAAGCATGATAACAAGAGAGAGACTCCTTGCTGAGCAATTAGAAACACACAGGCTTTTTGCAGTTCTAGAAGGCAGAGCTGAAGGCCTGCCAGCAGGAGGGTGGGAGGCAAAGTAGGTCAGAGCTTGTTGGGCCAGGGCGCCCTCGTGTGGCTAATTGTGATAGCATCGCTGGGACAGCCGGACTGCCTCCTCTTTTCTAGAGCAAATTTCTCTAAGGGCTTTCTGACTAGGGTTGTGCTCCCCCACGGAGGGCCATGGGGGCCACGTGCTGCCCTGTATCCGGGGCCTGACCCACCCTCACAATCATGTTTTTAGGCCAGATGTATTCTAAACCTGTACCAGAATGTATGAAAAATGGGGGAATGCCTTGTGAACAGGCAGGTCTTAAATCCTAGTGCTGTTGTCACACGAAGGTGCCCCAAGGGCGCCCTGTGCAGCCTTTTCCAGTGGCCTTGCTGGGGTGTGGGTGGGGAGGCACAACATTTGCTGGATAACCCTGAGATGAATTCCACACGAAGAATGGGTCTTCCAACAACATTCTCCCTTAGGAGATCTGCTTATAAAGACAAGCTCAGGGCCAAGGGTGCCCTGCCCATGTCCTGAGCGTCATTCCCTGCTAGGGGGACTACTAGAGCAGATACACTGACAGAGAGGGCGACACAGAGCCCTGTGAGTGCGTGAGTGGTCACACTCAAGTCCACAAGAACCAGGGAAAATGTACACACAGGAGAAAGTACTTGGGCCAGATGGTTCAGATGGGAGTTCTCTCTTTTGTTTCCCTAGCTTGGGAGAATCAGCTGGGCTGAACAGTGTGTGGGGTCCAGAGCTCCTGCCCCATCACTGCGTCCCACAGTCTGCACCCCCACCTCCAGGGGCAGCTCTGCTGCCATCAGCTCGGACAGCTCACCACCCAGCCCAGAGGCCACCATGCTCTCAGGGGCTAAGGAAGGCTGTGCCAAGTAGGTAGGCCACAGCTGGAAATGGCCCCCAGCCAAACCCCCTTCTGTGGCATGGAGGTAGTTCTCAGCTTCCCTGCAAGAGGACCCTGAGGGGGTTATGGGGGCGGAGTCTCCCCACCACACCAGGGTGAACAGTTAGTTATGTGACCATGAGAATCTGCATTTATAGCAAGTGCTGGGCTGCACTGGAGAGAGACTGCTGTCTTCTATCAGGCGGTAGCTGCTTTTGCAATCCACACAGCAGCACGCAGGTGTGTGCGTCAGCGGGGAGATGCTTCCTGTCTGGAGGAATCGGGGGAGAAGAGGCCCTACTAGTCTGTTTAGCGCATCACTGCCACAGACACGAGAAAGGCCCTGCTTAGAGCCACAGGCAGAAGGCTGCACAGATAAAGGAGGAAGCTTCCTTTGTTGGGGCTCCTGGGAGTAGGACGGGGTGGAGCCCACCCTGGCAGGACAAGCCAGTCCTGGGCTGGATACGGGGGCCACCTGGGCAGCTCAGGTGGGTTTGCTAGAGGGCATTGTCAGGAGCCTGAGGGTCTAGGTCAGCTTGAGATAAGGTGGGGGCCACATATGTGCAGACTATGGTCCAAAGGTATAAAAATAGAGAATCTCTATATCCCACCATATAGGCAGATTCCCCAGAACCTCACTGCTCTCCCAGCCCAAACAGTCACCCTGGGATTCCCTGGCAGGGGTTGAAAGGGTATCTTCAGCCGAGCACAAGAAGCAGGCATATTTTCCTGCACGAGTCACAATCAGAGCCAGAAGGAAGGGTGGAAAGGCCGCCCCTAGTAGACGACGTCACTGCCTCACCTGTAGGCCGCTGGGCTCCAGGCTCCCTTCTTGTGTCCGTAGAACCACAGGCACATGGTGCATCCTCACCTGGGCCACGCTCCATGTGCACAGGCTCTGCACGGGGCCATCTTTGCCCATATGGCCATCTGCAGCCTGCTGAGGAGCTCCCAGGCTGGGGATCCTGCGAGCCCAGGGCATCTGTGCTTTCTGGGGATGTGCGGTCACTTCCGTGTCCTCTGGCATCAGGCTTCTCTCGGTTGCTCAGCAGCCCCATCTCATGTCACCTTACCGTGCTCCCCATCCCTTTCCTGGTCCCACTGTGCTCCTGACTGCAGTTAGGGTGAGGTGTTGGCCTTCCAGTCTCAAGGTGGGGTGAAGAGACCAGAGGGAACCAAAGCTCTCATCTGTCCCCAGAACGAGGGTGGGTGTGAGATTTGTCCATCAGTGAATGCTTAGGACTGAGCTGTGGCGTCACTGTGCACTAAGGTGTCACAGAGAACCTCCCCTGGGGCTGTCCTCAGGGAACCCTCCTGGTTCCCCTGAACAGAGCTTGCCACTGAAGTCAGTCTTCATTTTGTCGTTGGGGATGAGCTTGTGTTGTTTCTGAAGCTCTTCCTCAGATGACATTAACAGTTACTATGGTAACCAGGAGGCGTGCCTGCTCCCACACTGGAGCGGCTCTTACCCCTGCTTGGCAGGGAACATTGCACATCCCCAGGACTGGGATGGAGGCTGCCTTGTGGGAAGAGGGACCCTAGAGGCCAGCAGCCAAGGTCAGGCCTGTCTCCGAGAAGGACCAGCCAGCAAAGATAGTTCTGACTGTAGCTCATCCCGAGTGGACAGAGGCCCCCACTCGAGGCTCTGCTTCCCCCTTATCCCCCCACACAGGACAGCTGCATGATGACCAAACCCTTTGGGGTCTTCAGGGATGAGACACGATGTCCCACTGTGTCGCCAGCATCCACTGCTCTCTGGTCCTGCTGAAGAATAGGGGTATGACTCCATGGGAGGCTGGAAGAGAAGAAAAGCCAAGCACAGCAGTTAGCAGGACAAGGGCTGCACAAGAGGGTAACCACCGCTCCCTGGGAAGAGCCCTTGGGCACCCACTGAAGGATGGGGCCCCAGGACCAAGTCAAAAAAATGACACTGAAGCCCAAGCATTTTCTCATCTGGCTGGGCTGGGAGCAGTAACAGCCAGCCGGGTGTGTGGCCTTTACCCGCGGGTGCATCGCACAGCCTCAAAGGCAGGAGCAGCCTCTCTGGGCCCAATCTCCAGGGAGGGCTGCTACACTCTAAGGGCTGCAATGGCCTCTGATAAGCCCTCTGGAGGCTCTAGGGTGGGGCCTTCCTGCTTCTCAGAGGGCAGGCAGCTGCCCGGCCAGCAAGGCCCCCAGGGCTCCCCAGAAGCAAAGTGGGGACCTTGTGGGAAAACTCCAGCCACAAGTACTCACCTCCTCAGGGTGCCAAGACCAGCTATGACCAGAGAATGAAAGCTAGGGAGAAAAATAAGAACAAAAATAAAAACTAAAAAAGAAAGGGGAGGAGGATGGAGAAACAGGAGGAAAGAGAAAGGAAAAAAGTTTGTAGTGTTTCTGGCAAGAAATGACATGGTTACAGACAGCAAGACAGAGCGGCCAGCTGGGAGGCGCAGGCACAGTTGGGGGGTGTGTGAGGGGTGCTGTGAGACACTTGGGTCTAGGGTGATGTGCTGCCACCCTGGGAGATTCTGGGGACCAGCACGCTCCTGTGCCAGGGTGTGAGCGCAGCTGGGGGCCCCAGGCCCAGCGCAGGCTCGGCACAGCAAGGCGAGCTAAGCCTCTTGGGACCGGAAGCCTGGTACCGCAGGCTAGGGGTGAAGATCACAGCCTGGTGGAAAGACATCCCAGTGCATGCTGTGACAGCACTCGGGTCCTGACAACACCCTGCATAGGCTTCATACTTTGAAGCTTTGTTTTCTATTTTGAGGGGTGGGGTGGGGTCAGAGCAATATGGACACAGGAGAAGATCTGCAATGGTGTGATTATTTGGACACAAGCTTTAGCTAAATGTAAAAATCTAACCCCTGACTTAAAATTGGCCCACTGCTAAACATAAATATGTCCTCTAAGACAAAATAAAACAGAATTTGGGGGGCTGGTGAGATGGCTCAGTGGTCTAAAGCACCTACTTAGAACAAGCTAAGCAAAGCACAGGGACCGCGGTTCAATCCCCCAGCACCACATGCCAGCCAGCCCCGCCCCCTGGTGGGCTGAGCTGTCCTCCCCACACTAAATAAATAAATAAATGTTTAGAAAAAACAGAATTTGGTTTTGGGGGGACTTTGGTCTCTTCAAGCTTAAGCTCTAAGAACTGTGTCCCCTCTGGGTGTCCCTGTGCCCACCGGTGCTCGCCCATGTGACCTGTGGGCTGGGGGCTGCTGAGTCCCTGTGGCAGACCTTGTTGTGTAGGTTGTACTCTGCAAAGCGCTCGCTGCTCCTCACAGCACAAGAAAGTTGCTGGGGAGCTGGTGGTAGAGGGCCCAGCAGATGGGCAAGTTTAGGTCACTGCTCAGGAGGGGTGGGCAGGGCTGTGGGGCTGGGGAGGAAGACCTGGTGGTGAGCGGAAAGGAAACTGCTGCCCTGGATAGCAGACAGTCTCCTAGTTTTTCCTCAGCCCTGCTGGGGCGCTGCCCACAGGGCAGTGCTGCCCTAATGCCAAGTTCCTGTTCTCTCCAGAAGGTTCAGGACAGGTGGGGGTCCCAGTGCTTGGTGGCCACTGGTCACTGTGGTGAGATCTAACCCACAGATAGGAGCAATCACTGAGGAAACATCTCTCTGGAAATTGCTGGACCAGCCCACTCACACAGAGGCAGACCTGCTCCGCAGGCGAGCCATCCCCGTGCGAGTCAGAGTCCTCCAGGTGTGCTCCTCCACCTTGGTCTAAGAAGCAGGCTGTCAACACAAGTGACAGATGCCTGTAAGCCGAGTCTCACAGAGCCTGGAGCCCTGAGCAGGAGCCCTGAGCATGGGCCCAGCTGCAGCGCACCTCAGCACGCGGGGCTTCGGCACCTGGAGATAGTTCCCTCAAGCCACTGGGAGGAGGCGCTGTTGCACGGATGGTGGCTCTGGGGTCCGCAGCCCACCTTTCGGGGACTTGCACTTCAGACCACTGCACTTAACTGGAATGGCACATGCTTCTGCTCTGACCAGGGCCCCGATAAAGGAACACTGTCATGGATTATTATGGTTGGGGTTTAAATTGTCTCGCAGAGGCTCATGCATTCCGAAGTAAGGCTTTTGGGAGACGATTAGACCATACAGGCTCTAACTTCTCCAGTGGATCGATGCACAGATGGATTCCCCAGTTTATGGGAGGTGACAGATAGGTGATGAAGAGAGTGGATCAGGGGGCTTGAACCGGGGATGATGCCTAGTCCCTGCCCTCCTCTGGCTAGTTCCTTCTGATTCCTAGCTGTCATAAGGGTAGCGGCTTCTCTCAACCATAGTCTTCTGCCATGGCGCTTCTGTCTCACCTGAGGCCCCCAGGCAATGCAGTTGATTAATCCTGGATTGAATCCTTTGAAATCATGAGCCTGTCCTCCTAGTAACTGATTTTCTCAGGTATTTTGTTACAGCCATAGAAAGGGAGCACATTGGTCCAACACCGCAACTCCAGAGCAAACACTGAGGCTGTGAGAGGCGTAGGTTCTCTGAGGCTGCAGGACTGGGTCGTGTGAAGGGCTCCTGGTGTCCATCCTGAGTGCTGCCACTTCCTGCCCATGCAGGCAGGGGCCTCCTGTTCCCCTGTCACGGGCTGTCTATCTATTGCCCCGAGTCACGTGCTGAATGACCTTGAGTGGGAATTATTTTGTATCCTTTTATCTATAAGCTCCACCGAGAAGACAAGCCCTGAAAATTACATTCCTTTTACCTTTTCTTCCAGTTCTTTAATTTGTCTCTTCTGAGCTTCTATTCTTTCTTCTAACTCTTTAATTCTCTGAAATGTTAAAAGGAAGAAAATCTTTATCATCAGGATATTTGGGGAACTAAGTCAAAAATAAAAGCCTTGGGGACCAGGGAGTTGGCTCAGTGGAATAAGCGCTTCCCTGGCAAGCACAAGGGCTCTGAGTTCAATCCCCGGTTCTGCCAAAATAAATAAATAAATAAATAAATAAATAAATAAATAAATAAAAAGATTGCCTTTCAATTGTTCGGTAAACCAACAGCCACAGAGCAGCTGAGGCCCGGGCTCCTAAGGCACACACAGCTTCCCCAGTTCCTCCCTTTGCTCCAGAGGTAGCACAAGGCCTTCCCCATAGCCACACCTCCTATGGCAGAAATCGTATCCTTCGACTCCTATAGACTGAAATATCATAATGCCAAGGCCAAGGAATCAGTGCACCATCCTTTCCCAGGTCACTGCTGGAGAAAAGGGCAGCTACAGGCATCACCACTGTCCCTAAGTAAGACTTGCCTTCCGGGGGCTGGGGCCTAGGGATGTGGAAGAAGCAGAGTGCTAGCCACAGCCCACGTGAGGGAGCAAGCAGGCTGCCGGTGCAACGCTCCCCTGAGCCTCCTGGAGACCCAGAAGCTGAGAAGTAAAGGGACTGGCGGTGCATGTCCTGAGGGCCGATGAGTCCTCCGTCAGATAGGAGGACTTACTTACTGCCTCCCACAGTGGCAGTAAGCTGGTGTACGGTGCAGTCCTTGATCTGATTCTACTACCAAACCTGTGCTGTTCACAGCATGGATTACAACTACAGAAGCCACTGCTGGGCCAACAGAACACAAGAGAGCTGGCGTGGGCATAAGCATCGGGACCAGCAGTGTACCAGTGTTTCTTACATCCTGTTAAAACTGAACTGGGCCGTGGGCCTGGGCCTACCAGCTGTGTCCCTAGACAGTGTTCTTATTCTTAGCATCAGGGGCCAGAGTCACAGAGATAAACTAAAAGCCGCTGACCCTAAATGGGGGAAAATCACCCACAGCCTTCCGAAACACAACCAGCAGGCAGGTAGTCTGACCATGTCTGGAGTCATGAGTGTGGACATGAGACCATGTGGTTGCCAGAGGGGTGGCCCCGGGCGTGGCCACTGCAGATGTGGCCATTGCGAAGGCTGGTCCTGGCAAGATCTGGTCCCCGGCCCCGCAGCCAGCCCTCCTGGCCCGCAGCGGCCCACACACCTGCTGTGCCATCTGCAGCAGCTCCATGCGCTCCCGCAGGATCTGCGCATCCCGCTCCCGCAGCTCGCTCATGACCTGGCGCTTCCACTGCTCCACAGCCACCTTGAGCTTCTCACGCTCCTCTTCGGACAGCAGCTCTGCCACTTTGGCCCCAGCTTCTTGCTGCAGGGCGTCGTACAGCATGGCTTCCAGCTCCAGGATGTGCTGGGGGCCAGACAGAGGGGCATTAGCCCTCCTCTTCTCTACCCCCACCCCGCTTGCTCCAGGACTGGACGGGCTCGCCTTCTAGGACAAGCGAGGGAGGCCAAGTTGCCCTCCCTAGGGAGCCACAGTGTGCCCATGGGTCTCTGGGGGAAGGGCCTGAGGCACCAGTCTAGCGATCTCCCACGCAGCAGAAGACCCGAGGACAGTGATGGTGAACGTTTTGGATCTCTCAGTGACAAAGAGCCCGCTGCATCATGCACGCCATAGGTTCACCACCACTGCCTTAGGAGACCAGCAGCTGAGCTGCAAAGTGCTGTCGAAGACAGGGATGCATCCAGGTGAGATGATGCCCTGGCTCAGGGGGCGAGAGAAGGACTGAGCCCTGAAGGGCCAGAGAAGTGGGCAGGCCCAGCTATAGGCCAAGGGCCACATGGCCAGAAAGTGTCCCAAGGCCACAGCAAGACAGGAAAGGACACCATCCAGGGCTGGTGTCACAGAGAAGGACAAAAGCTGCTTCCTAGAACAACAGGTCAGGATTGAGACCTCCATGGACGGAGTGAAAAGCACGACTTGCTGCCCCTCGCAGCCCATCTTGGCTTTTTATAACCCCCCGGGGTGCCTCGCTTTAGTCTGGAGGACTTTTAAACTCTCTCTTCGGGAAGCTTTTGGGTACAGTCTTGGAAACAATCAAATTCTCATTAAGATTCTCATTTTGATGGGCCCTTCCCATCAGAAATGTCACATATTCAGAAATGAATGTTCTCTTCTGGGAAAATGATTATGAAATTTCTTTGTCTTAGTAGAAATGAACAAAATTAAAAGAAAAACCTCTTGAGCCTCAGTTACATGGTATTGTTAATAGCCACAAAATAAACTGTCCCTCTGCATTCACAGTCCTGCGTAAATTGCCACTTCTGAGAGTAAAAGAGATTAAGATGCTTAAAACATCTGTCTCTGTCTCTTTCTGTCTGTCTGTCTGTCTGTCTGTCTGTTTCTGTCTCTGTCTCTGTCTCTCTGTCTCTGTCTGCCTCTCTCTGTCTGTCTGTCTGTCTGTGTCTGTCTGTCTGTCTGTCTGTCTCTCTCTCTGAGTGATACTACAGACTGAATCCCTGGCATGCCAAGCAAGCGCTCTTTCACTGAGCTGCACTCAGTTCCTCAGCTCTTGCCTTTTAAAGTAAACACAGCAAGCATAGAGTGAACACCATGGAGCCCCACATGCCCCTGCCGACAGGGGCTTCATCATGACCGTCTCTATAGCCAAGGCCATTAGAAGGGCGTGAGGCATGGGCTACTGAGAGGGTACCTCAACCTCCAGTGAAGCTACTCAGCCTTTCCTAGTCCTTGCCTCGTGGAAATGAGGTCTGGACTAGCAGCAGCCCTAAAGCAGCCACCGTTACAATGGATACACAGCCTTTCTCCTGCATAAGCAAAGGGGAATTGCACAGTGGAAAGAATCATGATGGGGGAGCATTCTTTTTTGTGGTACTGGGGATTGAATTCAGGGCCTTGTACATGCTAGGCCAGTGCTCTACCACTGGACGACATCCCCAGCTTAAGCAGTGAGTTTTAAAAAGAACGGCACCAGAAAATGGGCAGCAGCATCACCACCAGCACTACTACCACCGTCACTGTCACCATCACCATTATCACCACAATTACGAGCACTATCACCATGCTCACCACCAATCAACACCACCACCAACACCACTGCCATCTTTATCACTTTCCCCACCACCATCACCACCATCACCACATTATCATCGTCACCACCACTATCGACACCACCATCGTCACCATCGCCACCATCATCATTGTTACCGTTTCCATCAGCACCTCCCTCATCACCACCACCATTGTTATCATGGTCACCTGGGCCACAGGCATCATCACCACCACTGCCACCATCACCATCATCGTTCCTGTTACCACCAGCCCTCCATCATCTCCACCATCACCGTTACCACTGCCGTCATTACTACCATCATTATGAGCATCATCACTCTGGAAGTTGGGCCTCAAGGATGAACAGTTTCACCCCAGCATGTTGACTGGTAGAGCTCAGTCATGAGGGCTGGGGTCCTGCCTGCGGGACGGGGTGCCCAGGTGATTGCCTCAATGGCGACACCTCTATAGTCATCAGATCAGAGCCTGAGCTCTTGTTGGTAGTATTCTCTCTCAATACCAGGGAGTTCAGCAGGAAACAACTGCACTGAAGTCACAGAGAGCAGTGGTGACTGTCATGATTAAGTATCCAGGCTCCTGTTAGGGATGTCTAACAGGACATCCTAGCTCTGCTCTGCGCTCAACCTAGCAGTGGCTTATGTGCCTCCTAGCCATGGCACACATGGCAGAATACCACCACGCTCTCTGCAGAAGGTGTGGCAGAAATCCTAGCAGGATGGCCACTGGCTTCCCCAGTTCTGCAGAGCAGGAACGAGACACCAGACCATGGATGTGCCTGAGCAACATTTATGCGCAGTGGACCACCTTCCCTGTGTAGCATGGATTTAGCTCTTCTCAACCAGTCGAGCTCTGTGAAAGAAGGTACAAGTGAAAAGCCAACTATGTGGCTCTGAAGAGGCACAGCCTTGCTGGGCAGGTGTCTATTACCATATGTTAATAATAGATGCTGCCTCAGGATATGACACTGTCCCCAAGTGCACAAAGCTTCTTGGTCCCCAGTTGCATATGTCACTGTCCTGTCCCTCTGTCACATGGTCAAGAAGGGCATAGATGAATGTGGGAGCTCTCCAGCGCCATGTGTCTTTGCAACACCAATTTGAGGACTACAATACAGTGCTTGATTTCTGTGTACCTCTTGAAACAGGAAGAAGTAGACATTCAAACGCAATTCCTGCGCCATGCTTTCTCCTGCGAAATGGGCCTTTTGTCTATGTACTGAGCTCGTTCTTTTCCCAATGACAACAGATTCACAATTACAGGTTTCCAGCCTCAGCCCACACAGTGCCTTCCTGAGGCCTCCCTCCTCAGAACCTGCACCTTACTGAGTGTCACTTTGTGGTCCCTATCCCCACTACATCCCTAGCTCCTTTGCTTTTCTCCTAACTCTTTTTTCTATTTTTTATTTTTTTTGGTGGTACTGGGGATTGAACTCAGAACCTTGTACTTTCCAGGCAGGTGCTTATGCCGCTGAGCTGTATCCCCAGCCCCTCAAATGCAATTTGTTTCCATGTTCTCAAGGTGACCTCAGTGAGAACTGATTCAAGGTGATAGAAATAAGTGTTATGACTTGGGCATGGCCTACATTTGTATCTGGAGGGCTCATGCTAGAAGTCTGGTTCCCAGAGTGGCAATGTTGGGGTGGTGGAACCCTTAAGAGGTGGGTCCGATGGGAGGTTACAAGGGCACTGGGGTGCTTGGAAGGGATCGGCATGCAGTGGTTCTCATGGGATGGGATGCTAGTTACTACTTCCTGTGAGAGCTAGCAGATAAAAAGAGCAAGCATGGCTCCTGAGTCTCTCTCTCCTTTTTTTTTTTTTTTTTTTTTTGACATTTGATTTAATTTTATTTTGAAAAGTAAAAGCAAAGCAAGAACAAAAATCAGAAATAAAGAAAGAAACAGGGCAATGTACAAAAATGCATATGTTACAGATTTTCAAACCAACAGTAGTTGATTAAAAATAGTTGATATATTATCTATTTTATTGTCAAATTTGTTGCTCAGATTAGCAGTTATAGTTATGCAAGATTGGACATACGGTTGATAGTCTAAAGTATCCTGAGTCTCTTTGACTTTCTCTCTCTGTCTCTCTGTCTCTTTCTGTCTCTCTCTGTTTCTCTGTCTGTCTGTCTGTCTGTCTGTCTGTCTGTCTGTCTGTCTGTCTGTCTGTCTGTCTCTCCCTCTCTCCTCCCCCCACCATGTGTTCCTGTCATGATACCATGTTGGAATGCAGAGAGAAGGCCCTCACCAGAGCACAGATGGGTTCATCTGATCTTAGACTCCAGCCCCTTCAGAACGGTGAGCTGGATAAACCTTTTATTAGTACATTTCTCAGCCTCTGGTATCACGCTACAGCAATAGAATGCAGGCTAATGCAAGTGCCCATGAAGCATCTCTGGGCTCTGCGTGTAAGCCCCAAGTAGCACTATTACCTTAGGTTTATCAGCATGGGAAACGGTTTCCCAAGGGGCAACTGGATATGTGGTACAGGTAAAATTTGCATTCCTCTAAATGGTAGGTAAGCAAAGCAGAGCTCTTCATGAAATGATGTTATCAACATCCAGCAATGTCCAATTACAGTAATATTTCTGTTCACAAAAGTTTCTATTTGAAAGCAATTTGATTTGCAAAAAGCATTCAGCAAAATTTTGCGTCTGCTTGCAAACTCTGCATCAGGTGACAAACACAACCACAGCCACGTTCTCCACATACACACAAACACAACCATCATCCCCAAAATTGTAAAGCAAATTAAGTTTGTAAACCGAAGCATTTCTGCAATTTGCAAGGGCACCATTTTCCAATGAATTGCATCTTATCGACTCTTTTCACATTTCCACGTGAGCTCTCAGGGGCAGGCACTCCCAGAGCCTTTGCCCAGAGGGCGGTAGAACATCGTCAGAACTCACAGATAAAGCGTTCTGGTGGAGACGGACAGAGAGCCACCCTGCACTGAGCTGGAGCATTTCCTGTCAGGGCCATGAGCCCTGTCCTGTGAAGGCACCTGAGACACACCTCTGAGGAAGTGAGCAAACCCCCAACCTTGTTTCTCTTACCTTGTGGGCATGGTCCAGGGCCTGCTTCCTGTAGTCCAGCTCCTCATCCAGGTAGCCCTTCTGTTTACTGAACAGCTCCTGAAAAAAAGGTGACCCGGGTCTTGGCCTCAGGTACCCAGGCCTAGGGATGCCGAGCTGCACGGACATGGAGGGGAGATGCCACCAACCTTCTCACTCTCCAGATCCACCATCTTCCGTTGCAGTGCTGACTCAGTCTCTTCAATCCGCTGGAGCCACTGGACACAAACAGAGTGAGTAGGTGATGGTGGTCCCTTGATTCACCCACAGGAGCCTCAGTGTCAACCCCCCCTTCCCTGGCTCCATGGGGACAGCCTGGGAGAGGATGGAGAGAGGTTGGGGCATTGGGGTTGGGATGGGGCCATGGGCTCTATGCACCGTTCTGGTCCTGGCCGCACCTGTCCACCCCTCCCAGTATCTAGGAATTCTGCTCCTACACCTTCCTCAGGAGTGGAGGGACACTGATTTGGGGTGCAGCAGGAGCAGGCCCATCTGTGGAGCTCTGCCAGAGGAGGTGGGGAGGGCTGCATCATTTACTTGAACTCCTATTTGTCCAGCACATCCCTTCCCCCTGCTACTGGAGGTCTGACAGTGAGTGACTCTCCTGGGAGTCTGGAAGGTGGGCCAAAAGTGGGCTGTTGGGCTGGGCAGCCCCAAGAGGCCTGGCAGGTCAGTTAGAGAAGGGCAGCTTTCTAGACACTACATAGCTTCCAGGCTTTGATGAAAGAAGGGGCAGGGCTGATAGTGGCAATGCCCAGCTGGACCTGTCTTTGCGGAGGTGCACAGTGCATGCTATGTGACCTGCACGTGCCTCCCACGGCAGGCCCTCACACCCCGCGGAAGAACGTCACCTCTGGACTAAGCAGGGCTAAGCAGCGGGAGGGCTGCCCTTTCCCTTAGCCTCCCACAGTTGCTGTTACCTTCTCAGCCAAGGTCAAGACCGTCCTGGCTTGAATGACAACCACTTGCTCTTCATTCGTCAGATTCTGCACCCAAAAGCAGAAAACACACGTAGTTAGAAGCAGTGCCTTCCCAGGCTGGGGTTCAATGACAGATGCATGGTGAGGCTGATGGGGTGGGGGTGCCGCTAAGGTGCTTTTGCTGAACCATCTTCCTGGGGCCTCTGATGCTCTTTGTCCTTGACTGTTCACAAGCAAGACACTGTCCATTTCATCCTGTCACTGCTGGAAGGGGCCCAAGTGGACAGTAGGGGCAGGCTCACTAGCAGGGAGGCCTTGACTGCATCTTGGTGCCAAGAGCTCCCTCATTCTGCACCTTTCCTGACCTGTTTCAAGCCAGTACGTGGCATGTGAAGTGGCTGCAGCAGGAGGAGGCCCCTGCTCAGCCCCAGAACCTCCCTCCTTCGGATCAGATCTTGGAAAACCCTGTTTGTGCCATTCGCTTCCTAGAGGGTGAGATACTGCTTCCTTTCTCTATCTCCAGGTCAAAGCAAGGACTCTCAGTTGGAGGCTCATGACCGACTACAGGGAGGAGGCCAGCTGGGGTGGGCGGGTGCTCACTAACTGGGGCTAAGGCTGAGCCTGGTGCTTCGGAAGCATGCTAAGCTGCTGACGGCTCCGTTCTCATAGGACAGAGCTCAACAAGTTACAGGGATCCCCACTTCATCCGGTGGGCAGAACGGTGTGGAGAGGGCAGAGCAAAGGGCCTCAGGGTGACTAGGGGAATCGACCTGGATGAGGATAAAAGCCCAAGCATGGTCAGGGCAGGCTGACAGGCCCCAGCATCCCTCCTGGTGAGCAGCCTGACTCTTGGGCCCCTGCCTTGCCTTCCAGTCCCGTCCTTCTGTCTCCGAGTGACCCAGTCCCGCAGCCCAAGCAGGGCAGCACAAGTAGTGCCAACTACTAGGGAGGACAGGCTCAATTCTGCACCCTGAGGCCCTGGATGCTGAGGAAACTGAGGCAGGTGGGAGCTGCTCTGAGGTTCAGGTTTCCATAAAGGTTCCTATAGCCTTCGCTGGGGCTGGCCTAAATGTGACGGCCTGAGCATAGTGTGCTCTGGCTGTCAGTGCCAGTCACTGATTTCCTGACAGCCACTTTGGGCTCCAAGAGAGGATTGCAGGCTTCGACTCCAAGGGACACAGTCCCAGACCACAAGGCACACAGGAAGTCTGCCTGACCAGGACTGCACAGACAGAAATGACGGGATGCCCCTTGGCCCGTCAGCAGGAACTGCCGGGAGTCCTCACAGCGTGTCCTGGGTGTAGAGCCTGCCATAGGCCCTCCAGTCCCCACGTGCTATCATTGTTCTATGTGAGAATGACCTCAGAGGCTATGGGACAGCTCCAAGACAGTCATGCTTGGCTTTGCTCTTGAGAGGCCAGCTACAGGATGGGACAGGAGCTCTGAAACAGGACTATTCAGAACTATTACCTTAACTTTGCCCCTACACCAGACCTGTGAGCCAGGCCAGAAGCCTTCTGTGCTCTCCCCTTCTGAAGCTGTGAATCAGGGGCTTCCTAGTGTGACTCTGAAGAGCCCTTGATGGGGACTGATTTCTATGACTGGACCCCACAGCATATTGTACCCATGGTATTCCTGTTCTAGGGTACAGTAGTGCTTAACTTCCTGTGGCCATGATGGACCCACCAGGTCTGTGTGAGGAGCAGATATAGCCAGAGCAGCCTCTATGTAGGGCACTTCTTCTCATTCTGCTCCCTGCTGCTTCTGGGAATGAGCGAGCAAGGAGACAAAGGATTCCCTGTCCTGGGAAGGCTTTACGCAGAGGCCAGGGAGAGTGAGTGTAGGAAAATGGATAGAGGAAGGATGGATGATGGATGGATGGATGGATGGATGGATGGATGGATAGATGGATGGATGGATGGAGGACGGATGAACGGTTGATGGATGATGGATGGATGGAGGATAGATGGATGGATGGATGGATGGAGGATGGATGGAGGGTGGATGGATGGAGGATGGATGATGGATAGATGGAGGATGGATGGAGGACGGATGGACGGTTGATGGATGATGGATGGATGGAGGATGGATGGATGGATAGATGGATGGATGGATGGAGGATGGATGGATGATGGATGGATGGATGATGGGTAGATGGATGGATGATGGATGGATAGATGGAGGATGGATAGATGGATGGATGGAGGATGAATGGATGGATGGAGGATGGATGATGGATGGATGGATGATGAATAGATGATGGACAGATAGATGGATGAATGGATGGATGATGGATAGATGGACAGATGGATAGATGAATGGATGGATGATAGATAGATGGGTGAAGGATAGGTGATAGATAGATGGATGGATGATGGATGGTGGCTGGTTGGGTGGGTGGGTGGATGGATGGATGGAGGGTAATAAGAGAGGATGGAGAATGGGTGCATGACAGATGGAAGATAGATGGATGAATGAATGGATGTGAATACAGGAGGGAAGAAAGGAAGAAGGAAGGGAGAGAAGGTAGGAAGAATGAATGGACAGGTGACAAAAGATGGATGGAATAGATGTGGGGGTGGGAGGAAGGGGTGCAATTACTTTGCCCACTTAGTAATTAATACTCTTTTGAGAAATTTGCTGCCAAAATTGGAACTGTGCCTCAAACAAGATTTGTGTATTATTTATAGTCTGCTGCTTCTCCCAAGCCAAGCAAATGGGAAGCCGCTGGAGTTGGTCTCTAGGGCAAATCTTCTATCCCTGCTGGGAGTATGGAGAAGCTGAAAGAGGGTGCAGAAACCGCAGGTACATCACTGGAAGTGTCATTATCTGGAAAGACACCGCACAGGCCCTGATGGCACAGGAGCGATCTGAGGGATTTCCTCACAAGCAGAGTGCTGGGTACAAGCAGGATCTGGGCCTGGCTGGCAGTGGAGGTGGGTCTTTGGACGGGGTGGCCTAATGGGACTCGCAGGGGCCCTGGACCACACAGGGCTGGGCAGAGGGGCCCGGCGTGAAGAGCATGCACAAGTCAGGAGAGCAACATACACTTACGGCGTTATCCCCCAGGATATCCAGCTTCTTCATGAGCTCTGTCACCAGGATGTCCTAGGGGACAAAGAGAGGGACAGGTGAGCAGCAGCCAGGTGAGACCGCAGGCAAAGGCAGGAGAGGACCTTACCGTCACGCCTTCAGCCTCGCAGTACACCTGCAGGGGGCTCTTCCCATCCACGAAGGGCGTGTGGTGGAAGTTGATGGCAGGTGACTTCCGCTCCCTCTCCTAAGACAGAGGAGAGGCTGGGCATGGTGGGCTGTCCTCACCCCATTGTGCAGGGGCTCAGGGAACATGAGCCACAACCACACGATGATGAGTCAACACTGTGGTTCTGAAAACCAAACCCTTGCCGATGCCTTCACGGCAGAGACCGGACTGAACTTGCCCAAGAAGACCACCCCGTGTGTTTGCTCACTTGTGATGGATATGGGGGTCCTGCATCTTCACACTCTGGCTGTCTAGCCTGTGTGTGGACCACCCAAAGCCGCTTGCTCATGCCCTGGTGAATGGGGGCTGTCAGAGGTTTAGGGGAGAGGCCAAATATGGACAGTGATCCACCTAGGTGGCCACACTACCCTCCTACCCCAGGGAGGTGGACCGGAGGCTCTGAGGAGCAGATCCATCTGGACATCGGGACTCTGAGGAGCCTTCAGCCCACTGGACCCAGGTGGAGGCTGGAGCATGTAGGGTGACCCGTAGGGGCAAGGCCTACATGGCGCTGTGCAGGCCACTTCCTCCGGGGCTTGCAGATGGGCCGCACAGCCTGGCTACCCTCACAGTGGCAGGTGAGCATGGAGACAAGACCACCGATGCCCATTCTGACCTCCCTGAAGGTCCTTGCTCCCTCCTTCCCTTCTCTACAGCTCACAGCAGAGGATCTGGTGCAGGAATGGTAGGCACAGCTCAGAGGTGCCTGGCCTCTACAGGGCAGCCTCTGCCACTACTCAGAGGCTTTGATGAACAAGAGATAAATGTCGGGCTAAGCACTGAGGTCTGGGCATAGTCCCCACCACTGTCACTGCCAGCGCTGCCATAGGCAGTGACAAGCTGAGAACATCTTTCTGACAGTTGGGGCCCACAGAGCTGGACACAGATGCTGGCCTTTTTGTGTGCTTTGCTTTGCCTTTGCTTTCCCTCTGTGACGTTGAGTTCCATGCCTTGCCCCAGAGTACGTTCACGTTGCCTCCCTGGCCCCATCCCTCCTAGAAGCCGTCTACATTGCTTGCCCCTTTCCTCTCCAGCCTCGCCTTTTGGGTTGCTGTTCAAAGGCTCCTAAGGGTTGAGGCCCAAGGAAGGCAGCCAATCTCAGGGTCCTGTGGCCGGGGCAGCACAGGGCCAGCCTGCAGCCCTGCAGCTCTACCTCCAGCTCCAGGATCCTGAACTCCAGCAGCTCATTCTGGTCCTTTGCATCCTGGACATCATGCTTCAGTCGGGCCTCCTCCACCTCCATTTGTTTTATCTGAAAATTAGAAGATGATGAAACTGAACAGAGGCCTCATTCTCTTTCATCAGAGGGTATGTAACACCAGCTCCCTGGTTTTTCACACGGCTGCCATCTGTCCATGGGGACGGCTGACTGGCCTGACACCTAGCCCTGGAACCTCCTCACCTGCACGTAGCTCTGAGCATTCAGCCCAGCCTAGGTGTGGGTCTCACCTGGTGAGACTGGAAAAACCTTGGTGCCTTAGCTCAGTGGGGCAGGATGCGCTGGATAGGCAGGGACAGGCGAAGGGAGCAGGGAAGCCTCGACACTGCACAAGAAGCCACGAGAGAGATGTGGGGAGTGGAGGGGCTGCCAGGGCATGCTGCTACGGCTCCTGGAATCAGGCTGGGCCCTCACACAGCAAGATGCTGCTCTCTGATGGGAAGACCAGGGCTGAGGCTGCCTGGCCGTGCTCCTGAGTTGATGTGGCCACTTGAGGGACTCTTTCAACAGAGCTAGGAATGCATGAACCGACTCAGGTGCCCAGGCCTTCAGAGGAGTAAACACAACACAGCCTGTAGCACACACCCCCAGCAGCTGCGTGAGGGCAGGCCATCCATTGTGGGCTGTGTCCCTGCCCCCAAGAACCAAACTGAGGGAGCAAGGGGCCCTGCTCTGATGCTTGTAGCACAGGGGGAGCACTGGCTTTCCATGAGTGAGCCGACTTGGGTGGGTGCTGGAGAGTTCCTCAGTGCCAACTGCTAGCTGGTTGGACTGCAGTGGTGAGGCAGCTACAGGGCCAGGAATAGGGCTCTGTGCACGATGTGGTCAGAGAAGCACGCGGGCTTTACCTGTGAGCGGGAGTGTACATGCACACGGTGTTTAGTCATGCATGGCTTCAAGTGTGTGTGTGTGTGTGTGTGTGTGTGTGTGTGTGTGTGTGTGGTGTGTGTAAGTGCACACATACATCTCCAGGAGCAGGCTGGCACTTAAGGCTCATGCATTCATATGTTTGTGTGTGTGTGTGTGTGTGTGTGTGTGTGTGTGTGTGTAGGCACAACTCCTTAGGTGTGCAGCTCAGAGCGTGTAGTGATAATTAAGCCTCCCGTGTGAGCTTTGAGGTTCCCGTGTACCACATGTCTGGGCCCGTAGCAACCATTGCCTCTCACCTCCTTCCATACCACCTGCCCCCCTTACATGGTCCTGAGCTGCCCGTATGTAGTCTGAGGAATCGCTCACAGTCTAAGGCTCTTGGTGCTTTATGCCTCCTCTTTAACGGGCTCATGGGATGGGCTCACCTAAGGAGACGGCATGGTATCGAGGGCAGATAACCCTAGGCTGTAAGCCAGGCTCATCCTGGTGCAGGCAGGTCTTGGAGAAGGTGGGGTGACCCCAGGTAGACACTAAGGCACTACTAGCCTGGTTGAACACTGTATCTTCTCATTTTAATCAGATAAAATATCTAAGCAATGAATCCCATCTTGGGAATGGGGAAAGGGTGACTGCATTGTTAGAGCCCCAAGACAGCCCACAAGTCACCCCTGCCAGGTATTTCCTTAGTCCAAATGGAAACATCATCACTCAGTCAGAAATAAAAGCCCAAGTTCATCTGTGGATTCTCACAGGAGTTGTTCTCTGAGGCCCACTCAGCCTTATGCGGAACATCCCCTATCCCAGTGCGGCTTCTGACAGGAATGGTCTAGGAATTTCAAAAGGGCAGCTCTCTCCAAGGATTCTCTACCACCCATGGAGCCATCCAAGTAACAGACCACAGACCAAGATGCTGCACATGCAGGGCTCTGCTGGACTTGGAGGAAGGGCGCTGTCCTTCACTCCAGTAGACAGAGGAGTGGCTGAGTTCCTGGTATTGAGGGCAGACATACCCCAGAAAGACGAAGTACAGGTGATGAGCCCACAGATGAGCCGCAGAAGACCCAGGAGCCTCTCACAAGCCCATGGCCACCCCCAGGACCGCCCTGTGCTCCACAAGTGCAGGGGCATCTTGTATAGGGCTTGGGCATGGGGGTACCTTCTCTACAAGCTCTTGATTTCTTCGATACAACGCTTGCTTCTCTTCAATCCACTTCATATCCTTGAAAACAGAATTGAAATGAAGACATAAATAAGCAGCAGGAGACGAGCATGAAGCCATCCTCACACGGCCAGGACACAGCACTTCCATACCAGCTCTGAGAGAGCCCTAGTGCGCGGATGGTGAGCAGGGAGTGGAGACCGGGGGGTCCGCCTGCCTCCTTGACAGTGTCACACAGAGAGTGGAGGGAGGCTGGCCTGCTTCGGGAGCATATTTCAAGGGTGTCATGTGCCACCACTCAGATGGCACCCAGGCCCACATGCCCAGGCTGAGTGTCCAGGGCACATGACACATGCTAGAACACGGACATGCCCAGTCCAGGAGAGCTGACGTGGGGCTGGTGAGGACTCAGGCTGTGTGTGGGGTGGGGAGGTGGGAGAGGATAGAGCACCTGGGCCGGAGTCCTGTGCATGGGACTCAGCATGCACAGGTGGGGACAAAGAGGCTCGGAGGCTCCTGACGCTGTCTGGAGGCCCTGCGTGGCAGGAAATGCAGTGCCCCTGGCATATGCTCTTTACCTGGGCGCCCTCCTTTCTGCCCTGCTCCCAGTAGCACTTGTAGTTTTAAAGCAGTGTTGGTAGGAGGGCTGGTTGCCTCTGAGAGAGGCTTCATCGCGCACTCCTTGCCCACAGAGCCAGCTGAGAGGTGTGCTCAAGCTGGAGGACTCACTTTGCCCACGAATGAAGCATCGTATCCTCCTCGCCTTTTGGGTTCCAACCTCCCTGGCCACTTTTCTTCTTTCAACACAAATGACAGGATGGCAGGATCTGGGACATGACCCTAAACATTAGATGGAGTCTTAGGAATGTCCCCGTGACATCTGGGCGGAGGCCACCAGTGGGTCAGCAAGGGCAGGGCATGAGGTGTATCTGGAGCCATTGGCAAAAGCCCGTGCGCCTGCTTCCCTGGGGGGGGGGGTGTCACTGCAGAGAGGCACTGCAGCGCTGAATTCTGGGATGTCATTGTGCAGCCTGGCCACTGTTCTCAGCACCTTGTCATCTGTCCACCTGTCAGTTAATGTGTGAAAGACACCATGGACCTGGTACTGGGCAGGACAGAACCCAGGAAAGCATGTTTCACCTCTCAGAACACACTCCCAAGCCTTCCCACCTCACACAGACACCCTTCCGCCTTGTCTTAAACTCAGTAGGTCAGAGCATGATGCCCTGAGGCCACTGAAGCCACTGAAGCCACTGAAAACAGATGTCGCCCACAGGATCCACAGAATCCAGAGGTGGCTGTTGTACAGTAGTGTGGAGGGGGACACCCTCCTGTCTGGTGGCAAGCTACTGGCAAAGCTTGCAGCCTGCACTGTGGTCAACTTTCTCTACCAGGGGCCACGGAGACGGAAGTCTATTGCTCTTGTCAGATGCAGCTTAGGGCTTTTTCCTCTGGGGTCTGCAGCAGGGGCTGTAATCCTGGCCCAGACTGGGAGGATTAAAGATCTATGCCGTGGCCAAGCCCAGGGAAGGCCTTGTCCCATGGTTGGCAGGTTCCCACATCATTTACAGCTTGCTGTGGAATTCCGTCCTGTCCTTAGAATTTTTATTGTGGTGTGATACACCGTAAAGCATGCTAAAGCTACTGATTTTCAGCATGTGTTGAATAATTCCTACTCAGGTCCCCCCACCCTCCGAGGAGAGGCTTGGCAGCCCCCAGGGGCCAGGTTCTCTGCTCACGTGGGCGCCAAAGCCGGAGCTCACCTGCCCCTGCTCCGCCAGTGCCTTCTCCAGGTCCTCCACCCTCGTCTGTGCCCTCTGCACCTCTGCTTGCAGCTGCTCACGGGTCTGTAGGACAGGAGCAGAGACACATCAAATTTTCCCTAACAGCCAGGATAGCCAGACATGCCCACAGGGTCGCAGGAGAAAGAACTTGGAGGCACAGCAGGAAACATCTGGGGGCTAGTTCTGAGAGCTTCTTAGGTAAAACCTGCGCTTAGAGGGTGAACAAGCGGCAGGATGTGGGCCTGCGCGCGGGCCCTGCCGGTGCTGAATACACGGCTGGGAAGCCTTCTGTGATGAGCTGGGCAGGCTCACAGCCATGCTGCTGCAGCCTGGGGTCCGCTGCTTTCTCTGCACCTCACACCCCTAATTCTACTTCCCAGAACATGCCCCTCATTTGGAGGATGCGCGGCAAGACTTACAAGTGAGCCCCTCAATTGGACAGCTCCTCCTGGGCTTCCAACTGCTCTTTCTCGATTGAATTTGCTCTGTCCAAGTCCGAAACAGGACCATTAGCCCATGGGCTATCCCTGCTCTCTCAGTGCAGTGTCTGGAGCAAATGGGCACTGGACTGCAGGACACAGCGGCTGAGGTCCATCACCCCAGGAGGGCAAAGCCAGATGTGTGGCTCACAGTCTCAGGACAATGAAACCCTACAACAGAGCCCTGTCCCTAGCCTCAGGATGACTGAAATGGAGACTGCCTGTAAGATTTTCCGTTATGCTAATATCGTGTAAAATTTAAATGAAAAAAAAAAAAAAAGAGGGAACACTCAAATTCCCTTTTCTGCAGAAGAATATTCTTTCCATTTTCCTGCTTTTCACTTTGGGGGAGGGGAAGTCTCCTCCACACCCAGGCCAGCCTTTGCCCACCTGGAGCACGGAAGGGACACAGCTTCAGGACTCCACAACAGGTGAGCTTAACGACATTCCCAGAAAGCAGGAGGGGACATCCTGCCAGATGAGCAGGGTTGGGGGAGGCTCCCTGAAAGCACCTGGGAGAATGCATGGTGAGCAGGGCCTTTTATTACTGTCCCCTCATCCTAAGAGAACTGTGCTGTACCCAGACCACATCCCTAAGTTACAGCATCGGCAAGGGATGCTGTCTCTTGCCCTGCCGAGTGGTCCGAGGGAGCAGGACTGCCTGCAACGTCAGATGCCACCATTGCCTGCTCAGGAGAGCTCCTGCCTCTTCAGGAAGAGGCCTGTCTTTGCGTGGTGCACTAACTACAGTGCCTTCCCCTGGTAAGCAGAGATACAGTTGGAGCAGCAAGGGAACGCCTTCTGGTCTCTCGGGTGTGGCCTGGTGCTGACACTGTCCCTGGAAGCCAGCAGAGGGCGGCCACCAGCCCCATCTTCCAGCCTTTCCTGGGTGCCAGCAGCTTGCTCTGGGCAAATCTGGGGAGCGACCCTGCTGCTTGGCAGTGTAGGCCCCGAGCTCAGTATGTGCTGGATGCGTGAATAATCTCAGCACGTTAAAAAACAACCAACTAAGCTCGAAAGCCGCCTCCAGTTCATCTCTGTGTCCCCTCCCCACAGGAGCTCCCTAAGGGCATTCCTGCAGGGTTAGGCAAAAGGGAACTTTGTCTGAGGGCTTTATAGGCTGCATGTGCGCTGCCACAGTTCTTGGCAGAGCCCAGTGTGGCTCTTCAAGGACCCTCACCCTCGTCAGTCTGGGGAGGTCCCAGCTGGGGGCTCCACTACCCTGGATTTTAATGGCCCCAACGAGCATCGTCCAGGACTGGCAGGGAAGGGGCTTGGCCTGCAACCGTGGGCACACATAGTGTGCCTGCCTGGGCCATGGGTAGCAAGCGGGGAGGAGCTGAGTGGGAGCCGGAACCTCGTGGAGTAGAAGTCATTTAGACCTTAACTTCTCGCTCTGCATCCAGCGTTCCTCCGACCTGCTCCTGCAGCAGGGCATAGGCTCGCTGCAGCGCCTGGTACTCCATGGTCAGCTGGCGGAACCGCAGCTCCGTCTCCTCCTTGGCCATGCCCTGGATAGGCACGCAGCACCACATGCGCACAGAGAGAGAGGCAGCGTTAGCACGGGCTCCACACATAGCTGTCACCACACCTGGGCAGCCAGGGCTCCTTTTCTTTCCAGAGAAAGGAGGAGTTTTTCTAGCAGCAGGAGGCAGGAGGTCCTCTGCAGCATGTGGGCAGGGGCATGCTTCGGAGAAAGCACCTCTGCAGGTGACCGCTGAGCCTGAGCTGGCCGTGCAAAGGCAGGGGTGAACCTTGTGGGTTGGCAACCAGTGGCCAGAGGCTCAGATGGGGCTCGTCCTTGCCTGCCTGTCTGCTCTGCCTACTGGACCCACTGCTGCCGACCAGGATCCCACATGGCTCTGTTCTGAAGAAATGTGTCAAGCGGAGCGTGCTGTGGTTTGTGAGGAGTGTGGAGCCAAATAGCACATTTCTTCCAGGCCCATCTGTCCCAGGCCTGCCCATCTCAGGCTTGCTCCTGCATAGTTATCTGTAGGACTGTCTTTCCAGCTGCAATGACATCTGTGATCCCAGGGAGTGGCAAGCACAAGTAGGTCTGCTGTTGTCTTGCAAGAGTCCCTAGGGCCCTAGGGTGGGGATGGTGGGCCACGCTCAGGAGTGACCACGCTCAGAGATGCTGCCCTGCTGCTGCCTCCCATGCCCCTCTCCATTCTCTGAGGCTGGCAAGTATGGGCTTGCTGGGCTCTCTGATTTCAAAGCAGGGCCATGGTCTTTGGCCATCCTTCAGGATTGGCCGGGGCAGGCTCCATTCATGTCCTTGCCATTAGATCTGAACAAATCTGTGGATCCCACTCCCTGCCTGTAGCCATAAGAGTGGGTCCAGTCAGATCGGTCCTTGGGGTGTGGTGGTGGGATTGACTCAGTTGGTGGATTTGAGGATGGCCATCATTCTAGCAGTGGGGGACATTGGCTATTTTTATTAGAAAGAAAGCTCCTCTCAATGTGTCTGGGGCCCTGATGTGTCCTTGACATGGGACCAACCTCCCTGCAGATGGCCCTGAACTTCCTGAGAAGCCCTGAGAGAAGGTGGTGACTCTTTCATGCCCTGCTGCAGGAGGGCCCAAGCTTGATGGCAGGGGAAGTGGGTGACTGGAAATTGGGGGAACCAAGGAGCAACCCTCTGCTAGCAGGCAGACAAGAAATGCAGAAGATCCTTGTCCCAGTGCAGTAGCATGGGCTTCCAGGGGTGTGCGCTGGGGAGGCCCTTGTGGGGAAAAAGGTTCACCCAAAATCCTGGCCCCTACTCCACCAACCTCACACTCTATTCTGCCACTATGCCCCAAGAGAGCTGGCAAGTCCAAGAACTGCCACAGAAAAGCCAAGTTACCTCCTCCAAGTCATCGTCTGGTGTGCAAGGGGTCTGGTCTGTCCTGTCAGTTTGATAAGAGATGGAAGAACCATCGGATTCCAAGGAAGCTTCTTCATCATATCCAAAGAAAGTCTCCACGACAACTGGCTTCTGACCAAAATGTGACACATTAATATTTGGCCAAGAGGTAGCTTCTTCCCACCTTCTCTTATTGCCCAGCTGTGGAGGCCGTGGCTGCGAAGCAGTCCACCCACTGCCAGGCCCCACCCTGCAAGGCACTGCCCTCGGGGAATGCGGGGGCTGCCCTCCTGCGGGGCCAGAAGGTGGCCTAGGTGTGAACACACCCTCTTGGCTCTTTCAGGAGCTGGACTTGTGGAGAACGGAAGGAGAACCAGTGGGATTTCTATCAATAGACGGTTTCTGGACTTGACCTTCATGCATGTAGAACCAACATATGATCAACAGCGAGTACTTCTTCTGACGTATGGTCACTTTTTCAGTTATGAGCTTCTACTACATCTTTATAAGTATCAGTTCTCGACAGATTGGAATAGGAACCAAAATAAAATGAGTCCCCTGTGGCCTAGTTTGAGAGGCCTGCCTCTGAGAAACCCCCAGAGACCGCTAACTCTTTATGTTTAGTACTGGGATTGTAGCTCAGGGGCACAGCACTTGTCTAGCACACAGAGGTCCTAAGTTCAATCCCCAGCATCTCAATAAATAAAGAGCAACAACAATAAACTCTTGGGTTTGTTCATCCTAAGTTCTAGAGGAGCATTGCATAGCGTTTAAAAACAACAAACATATTTTACCGAGAGTTGGAGATAAGTTAGGTCCTTTGAGAATTTCTCCAGTGATTCCCTTAATAAAAATGAGTTTATCAAAAAGGATTGTACTCCAGAGAAATTCCCCTAGGACTTCAGCATTCCTCGGGATGCAGGGCTGCTGGTGGGGGATGTGGGGCGGTGGACAGCAGCCACGGCAGCTCATACCAGCCACTGACCTTGAGAACCAGCTGCGCTGCAACTTCTGGATGCAAACCCATCAGCCACAGCAGCGAGACCACCCACTTCCCACCTGATTCGCCCAGAGGCCAGGACTGTACCCAGTGCTTTTTTTTTTTTTCGCAATCTATGCCAGAAAAATCCCTTTCCTAACGGTGTGAGGTATACACACAGCCACCACTTTATGAAAAACCTTGAGAACAGTTCATTCAAGTTTGGTGTCCCCTGGATGGCAACCCTCATGAGCGCCAAGTAAGCACAATAATTCTTAGTTTTCAGCTAGGTTGACATGATCTCAGTTAACAAAATTTAAATTTATAAACAGAATATTTGAGTGTTATTTTGGTTATTTCAGAACAACAGCTTTTGTTTTAGAACAACAGCTTTTACAGGTAGTAAAATTATTTCCTTTTCATTCCCAAGAGTTTTTCTACAAACTCAAATTTTATGCCCACACACTCCAGTGTTCCCTCCTTTACCTTGGGGAGTTTCGCCATTTTCTTTCTTTGTTTCCGATACCGTAAAAGCTTATCACGCTCCTGCAAAAACCAGTTGGAGAGGGTTTTTTTAAGTAGCTGGAACAGCTCCAACAGTTTCTTAATGTTTCCATACTGTCATTTGAACTGACAGAGAAGTGCCCTTAAGACTGGAGGATTGTCCCTGCGGTATAGACACAGGGTGTTTTGCACAGACAGCTGGGGCAGCTCTTCCTCTCTGCCCATCTGAGGCATGTGAGCCTCCGTTTGGGTGGGCTCTGGGCTCCCCTACTGCTCTCCATCTGCTCACCTCCCATTTGCATCTTGGGGGCAGGGTGCAGGCTGGTGGGAAGAGCCAGGATATTGGGGATCTCATGCCCCAGGATCCTCCTATACCACACAGTGTCCACATTTGTGATTAGACACCTGCTTCTGTGTACACCGTGAGGAACCCTCAGCACGGAGTGGGTGCCACGGACAGCCATGACAGCAGAGGGAGACAGGCAGCTAAGGAGAGAGACACAGACTGGTACTTACTAACACGCTCTTCACATAGCCAGCCGTTTCAAGGGTCTAGGGAAAGAAAACAGCATGTGACGAAGCAGAAGGTACAGTCCTTGCTCCTACAGAGCTCTGCAGAGCCCCGAGGGGGTCCCCGAGTCCCCACTGTACCCTAGCCACAGAATCATGTTGCTCAGAGTCCTTTGGGCCACACACTACCATCCAGAGAGGGAGGTTCCCCCCTTGCCATCCTTCTTCCTTTCCTGAGCTGATCTGCTGGGGAGTCCCTGAATATTCCAAACCCTGAAACTCCTGTTCAGAACTGGGACCTTTGGATCATTGGGCAGCAGGAGAAAAAGGCCTTCAGTAACCATAATTCTGTGCACCATAACTGACCAAGTTGCCATCTTTTTTCTACTGCCCTTCTAAATTGTTCTCATTGTTCACACTGATGATCACTGGCCATGTCATTCAATAGAGAAGAACTCAAAGCTCAGCCATGACCCAGGCAGATCACCTTAGTGACACTCCCTGCCACAGCCCAGGCTGAGGTCCCTCTGTTCCTTGTCACGTGACTCTGGAGGCAGCTTTAGTCATTGAAAAAGACACATGCTGATGGAGAAGCACAGCAGTCCGGCTGCTCTCTTGCAGCTCCTCCTGAAATCATCTCAGCATGGGTCCTCCAGGATCCCAAGGAGATGCAGAAAGTGGGGATCCCCAAACTGGGACAGTGGGAAAGTTTCATGACATATTACTTCTCTATTTGTTTTGGGTTTTTTTTTTTTTGGAACCGGGGATTGAACTCAGACCCTTGCACTTGCCAGGGAAGCGCTTATTCCACTGAGCCATCTCCCCGGCCCTACTTCTCTATTTGTAAGGAATCCACAGGGACAAAGCAGTGGAAGGGGCTGCGAGGTAACCCCCCTAAAGGATGTATTCACAGCCCCGTCTCCAGCACCTGTGAATGGGACCTGATTTGGAGCAAGGGCTGTTGCAGGTACAATTAAGTTAAGGGTGATGAGAGGAGGTCTTTGTGGATTAGGGCAGATCCTAAAGCAAAGGACTAGCATCCTGCAAGACCAAAAGAAGGGAGACTATTCAGACAGAAGAGGAGAGGCCAGAGGAAGACAGGCAAAGATAGCAGTGATGTCACAAGCCAAGGAATGCCAAGGCCCCTAGAGGCTGCCCCAGGGAAAAAGCAGATCCTCCCAGGAGGCCCTGGAGGGAGCGTGACCCAGCTCACCAAGGACTTAGAGTTGGGACTTATGGACTCCAGAACTGTGAGAGGATAAATTGCAGTTTTAGGTCCCCTGGACTGTGGAGATTTGTTACTAGCACAGGGAATGCTGCTGGTCTCGGAGGTCCTGGGACAGAGCTATTTACAGAGGTCCACCTTGAACAGTGATCACAGCCCGGGGCCCAGCCTGGGATGGCTTGGCAAACACTCGCCCAGCTTCTCCCCCACCCCACCCAGGGAAGCCAGGACAGGCAGGGCTGTGCGGCACGCGGTCACCTTGGAGAGCTCATCAATGAGGCTCTGCTGCTCTACAATTTGAAGCTTCAGGAAGTCCACCTCCCTCTCATCCTGACTCTGATCAAGGTCGTTGAGGGAGCTGGGTCTCCGGATGATCCCGGCTCTCTGCCTCTGAAACACCAAGTGGGCTGTGTCACAAGGAGCGGCAACGTGGTCTGGCTGGCCAGGAGTGCTGGGGTCGTCCTGCTGCGCCTGCAGGAGCAGCTCTTGGTCACCTTAGCTGCGGGCCAGGCTGCTCTGCTCAGGCCTCAGAGCAGCTGGCTGCAGAGCTGGGGAAAACTGATGATTCCATCTTGGTGGGGCCCCACGGTGAGAGTGGGGCTGTGCAGCCTCCACACCACACGCAGCCAGCTGAAGGCCACCCAGAATGGGACAGCAACATACCCCTGAGGAGGAGAGTATGGAGCCACCCGTGCCCACATGGCCTGCTCTGAAGCTGCAGCTCAGGTTCAAGAGAAGGCCTTTCTGTCAGGAAGGGCCCGGGCCATGCTGCCGCTGCTCCCCATCATGCTGTCGTTTGTATTGTCTGAGCTTGCTTCCTGGCCTCTGGACTCCTTGGGGGCCCAGAAAACACCTCTAACTATAGAGGATCGGACTTGGGGGCCCATGCCAGAGTTGGCTCCTGAGCAGGGCTCACTGTTCTGTGCCAGACAGACGCTGCCTGACCTTCTTCCCGGACGGGACCCTCGGGCCTCTTGCTGGCGTCATTAGGGATTTTTCAGAGCTGGGAGAGCCCTTGCCCAAACCCCTGTACTGGACATGGGCAGAGAGGCCTCGATGGGAGCGGATGGTGACTGTCTGAGTGGCCTCCCGCCCGGCTCTGCTTCCGCCTTTCTGCCGCAGGCACCACACCCTTCCTTCCCAAGATGGGCTCTAAGCTGAGGCCTCCCTCCCACAAGCAGCCTCATCTTGTGTCCTCGCCCAAGAGACCAGACTTGACCTTGCGGGCCAAGGGCCTGGCTGGCTCTGTTGTCTCGGGTAGCACAGAGAAGTGGGCCAGGCTGCGCCTCCGCGCTGCCCTGCCACCTGGCAGGCCCTTACCATTTCCATGTTCTCCTGGGTGACAAATTTCAACTTGCTTTCTATTCGCCGTAATGTGTGAGACAAATCTTCGTTTTTCCGAGTAAGGCGTTTGTTTTTATCCAGCAGTGGCTTGTATTGACTTTCAGCTTCTCTTAAACGCTTTAACTGAAATAAAAGTAATTATATAACATGTTTTTTTTAAGTGATCAAAAATGAATAGGTCTCTAACCACAGTCAGCAAATGGACCAGATAAAGCTTTAGCTCAAGGGCAAGACCATCGGCCTACCAGGGCCATCTTTCCGTCTCCTCAGGGTCTGGGTGCCAGGGTATGCCAAGGACCACCAATTCTGCGTAGGTGCCAGTCCATACGTAACACAGTGGGTGTAGTATCTGTACATAACCTATACATAGTCTCCTGCATACTTGGAATCAATTTGGATTACCTTTAATACCTAATGCAATGTAAATACTGTGCAAACAGTCATTACACTGTATTGTTTATGGCAGGGCAAAAAGATAATGCATGTTTAGTACTGATGTGATTTTAAAAATATTTTTGAGCCACCTCTGGTTGAAGCCACCGATGCAGAACCTGTGGCTATAGGACCAGCAGCTCCACAGGGCCACCTGTGCTTGTGAAGCTTGGCCTAGGCCCCCGGTGCAGCCCCCAGACTGACTGGTGCTCTCCATCCACACAGAAACATAGGAAGAAAACTGAAGAGCAGAATTCTGGGAACAATGTTGTGTGCACTGAGAGGTACAGTAAAGTCACGCAGGCTCCCGGGGCCCTTCCAGCCACTCTGAGCAGCTCTCATACACTCTGGGAGCTCAAGCCACTCAGAAATCTCAATAGCTATGAAGACCAATAGTGACACCTACGCTGACATCAATGTCCGCCTACATCTCAGGTCACAAGCCCAACTAGCACACAGAAACTAAGTTGGGCCCACCCTTATTTTTGTTGATAAAGTTTTATTGAAACACGGTCAAGAAGCATAAATGCAAATTAGTCCTTCTTTCCCCAAGGAAGTCTGGAGGGGGACACGCTCCAGCTTTCACAGACTTTTAAGACCCAACGATCCTCCACACCACTCACCAGCTCATTCCTTTCTTCTGACAGCAAGGCATTACGGTCCTCCAGTTTACGAATGATGGCACTTAACTCGGCGATTTTAAGTTGGAAGCGCCGGGCATCTTTTTCATCCAACTGCTGTTCCTACAACAAAAATCAACTGCAAATAACTGTTCCTAGATGCAGATATATACAATATTTGCAAACACAACCCACTATGGGAACCAAATTCTTCTGCATGGTGACTGCCCTTGCTTCCAAATGGCCGCAGTGGGTGTGGACCCTCCTGGGAGAGGCACCACGCTTTGAGCGCATGCACCACAAAATGGCAAGATGAGGCCAGGGTGGAAGCAGAGATGCCTGGAAGTATGCAAATGTGGAGGGCAAGAGCGTGCAAGCACCAGCGCACAAGGGCAGCAAGGACCAGCTGAGTACCTTCCTGCAGCCACTGCCCAGCTGCACCTTTCAGACAGGGGCCTGCTGACCTTCAGCGGGCAAATTGCTTTCACAGGATGAGCACAGGAAAAGACATACATTAAAGAATTCTGAGTGTTGCTTTCCCAAAATTGTGCTTCCTTAAATCAAGTTTTGAGAGGGTCACTTTTGCAACCCATGAGACACCATCCCAAAATCAGTGAAAATGTGTTCATCCAGTTTCAGTCTCTGGAGTGAATGTTATAGTCCACCAAGCCCCAGAGCAGGAGGGGATGGTTCTAAGCAGTTAATTAAGCTCTTTGTAATATGACCATAAAATGCTGGTCTCTGTTCTTACAAGGTCATTGTCCCATAGCTGGCTCAGCTAAACCAGTTTTCCTGCCTGGGTCCTCTAATTGAACAAAAGAGTGTCCAGAAAGATACTGGGCATGTTTCGAGTTCCTCATTCAATAGGTGCAGGAGAGGCTAGGGACCAAAGGCCCAGAGGGACCGTGTGCATGGATTTAGAACCCCTGGGATATTGTAGACCGATGCAGAGGAATCTGAATGAGGAGAGTGATGACATGGGTGAACTCGCAGCTGTGTGGCTGGTGGCTGACCTCCACAGTCACACACAGCCCATGGAGGAGCAGAAGGTGGCATGGTCACACGAAAAGCAGGTGGGAGTGTGACTGGTGATGTGAGTGGCAGAAACGACTGCATGAGGGGCCAAGCTGGGGCCAAGGGCACGCGGCAGCCAGAAGCCTGTGCACATGGGGTGGACGCAGCACACACTCCAAGCACCTCATCTCCCACCAGCAGGGGACACCAAGTTTCCAGGACCCTTGTCTACCTGGAGGCCAGGAGGCAAAGGCCCACCAGTTGCTGTTGGGGAGGAAGGAAGGAGACCTTCTACCAGCCCTCTGGATCACTACTGATAGAGTGACTGCTCAGGGCCGGCTGCAGGGGCCCAGTGCAGCAGAGTCTACCTGGCCTAGGGCCATGGAGCTTCCCACACGGGGCTGTGCAGCCACACGGGCTGTGTCTCTGTGACTCAGGGCCAGTTGGGGTGAGGCCTGGGGTTGCTTACAGGGCTTCCTGAGTGGTCTGAGGCGTCTCCTGCACCGCTTGCATAAGGAAGTTCTCGTCTGGGGCTGCCTGGGTGCCGCTCAGCCTCTCTGGCCTGCGAAAGCTGCTCATCTAGAGCCTCTTTCTGAAGCTGCAGTCTTTGAGCATGCCCGGCTTGAGCCCCTAACTCTCTCTCCAGCACGAAGACTGCTCTGTCTTTAAATTTTATCTCCTCCATCTACAAGGAGAACAGAACACAGTCACACACGCAGGAAAGGTATAGGTCTACAGTTACTATAGAAACAGGCAGAGTGACATCGGGAGGGGTCCCCATGACAGAAGCCCTGCCAACATCTTGGGCTGGGAGACCAGAAGCCAAGCAGACTGTCCTAGATGTGAGGTACTGCACACCCCAGGCTGCTGTACCACACCCTGCCCTGGGCCACTGGGACTCAGCTGGTCCATCCCAGGGTGGTACTGGCTAAGGCTCCTTTCTGAGGAGACTCGGGCTTTGTGTATTCCTGCACCACCAGCCTGGCTGCTCAACAAGACTCTCCATTGCCATTCTCAGGTACAGTGGGCATAGGCATCATCTGGCATGTTGAGGGAAGCCTCCCACAGCTCTTGCTCCTGGCTGTATACTGGGTAGGGAAAGGTAACACCCCAAATCACTCATACACCCCAACAGGGAGAGTGTGGTGGGCAGGATTGTCCTGTGCATGGCAGGGATAAAAGTGATAAGTAGAAGCCCTGGCCTGAAAGCTCCCTAAGCCTCTTGCAGCTGTGACTGCTCACCATCCTAAGAGGTGCCAGGCCAGGGGAGGATGCCAGGCATGTGGGGGCACTCCCGCCACCCCTCTCCATTCACCTCTCCTGGCTCCAAGGTGTAGCTACAAAGCTGGAGGGCTGCACAGTTGTCGCCAGGCAAAGCTGTTTCTCCTACCAATCTTGCTGCAAGCCAACGCTTTCAGGGTATAGTGAGGGCATTGGGACAGGCAGGCTCCAGAAGGCCAAACATGTCGATCCCACCCTGGGACCCGCCTGCAGGCCAGGTGTGCACTGTGAGGTTCTGCAGCGCTCTCCACCTTCCCTGAAGGGTGGCGTTCTTTGCACTCAACTTCTAATGGCAGCAAGAAACTCCTTCCACATGCAGCTGCCCCCTGCCCTCGGGACCTGTCACCTGGGTGGCCCCCGCGTACACATGCACAGTCTGAGGTGGATCCTGCCCAGTGGACCATGCACATGGAGGGAGAGTGAGTGCTCTGGGATATAAACAGCACTGGATTTAAGGAGATGACAGTATCTTTGGGGCAGAACAACTCAATTCAAACCATATTTTCAAACAATGAAGCAGAGTAGACCGCTTGCCGCTCTGTTTACTGTTTAAGGTTAAAACAAGTGAATAAAATCAGTCAAGTTTGCTTGGGAACAAAGAGAGGAGATGTCTAACCCAGACCACAAATTCCCAGGCAAGCTATGAACAGGCCAGGATAAAAAATTTTTTAAAAACCAAAACTTTAATTGCTAAATTCCTGTTTATTGGAGCGCATAGCAGTATGGAAAGAGGTAGCAGAGCCAATTAGTGACGAAAAGTAGCCAGTAAAAATGAAACCCTATCAATAGGCAGCTCTGTTCTGGGTCTAGCACAGCCATACAGACATTTACAAACGTCATTTCTCTTCCACCAGGAAACAAGAAAGTGAGACCCAAGTACCAGCGGGGAGCTGGTCTGGAGTTTGAGACCAACCTGTGCAGGAAGCCACCAGGCAGGAAGGGAGACAGTCTGCCCACCCGAAGCCCCAGGGCCCCCACCAAGGAGATGCGGGAATAAAGATGCCACAAGGGCACAGGATGCTCGCCTAGGGACTGGTGACAAAGCCTCCCACACCCGTGGGTCTCGCACACTGAGGTTCCTCAGCCAAGTGTATGTATCTGTGTTTTCCATTCCCTCTGCCTTAGGCCTGAGGTGTTTCTGGGCAGGACAGCACGTGCCTGCAGGACACCAGATCTGGCCCAGACCAAGGTGCCCAGTGGGGCTGGGTGAGGGTGACACTTCACTCACAACAAGCGCACATTCGAGCATGGGTAATGGAACTGTAGTCAGTGCTGCGTGACCAGCCTGCGAAGCTGTGGCGGGTGGTACAGGTGGAGGCTTCCTGCACATGTGGAGTCACACCCACACACGCGGCTCCCCTCTTGCAAGAGGTTTAACCAAGTGTCTATTAGTAAAGCCACAGGCTGCAGGCTCTGACACGCTGTCGCTGGTGTTTCTGAGTGGCAGCGGACTCTGCTGCACAGGGCTACAGAGTCCAGAGCGCAGGGCTCCTGTCCCATAACCCAGCTGTCCTTGTGCTGATATCGAGGTGGCTAGCCTCCCAGGGAGCCCAGAACCGAGGAGTTCCTGGGACATAGACTTCCAAAGCTGAAACTGGGGCAGCCTGCTAACCCAGGACGAGTCAGTCACTCTACCTCCAGGACGGCTGCAGTGGCCTCCAAATGGCCTCCCGGTGTCCTCTCCTGCACCAGCCCACTCTGTCCCCTTCAACCACAGAGTCAGCTTTTACAAAGAGATCAAATCTCCCTCTGTGAATAAACCTCCTCCCCCAGGGTAAGAATATGGTTCCGGGGTCTCATGGAAGCCTATGGGTTGATAAGTGAGCTCCCTTTGCCAAACCTAGTCCCTCCATGCTGATTCCTCGGGGCAATGGACTGTCAGGGAAGCGGTGTACAAGGCAGAGAGAATGATTTTTTTTCAGGAGGGAAGATGGCTCCCTGCACCTGGGCTCTTTCCCTCCTCTCTAAGCATAGAGCACTCAGCACGTGTGGCCCAGCAGGTGCTCCTGGGCGGCTCTGCCCCAGGCAGCACCAGACTCCCAGCCACCCTCTGCAAGGGGTTGGCACTAGATTTTTCTTTGTGCAGAAAGCAAGTCTAGAAACTAAGCAAAATACAAGAGCAGGGGTAGGATGCTGGAGACAAGGAGGGCAGGTGAGGAGAGCCCTGAGTGCTCCTAGCTTTTCCTATGAGACATTCTCTCAGCTGCTCCATCCGGAAACAGAGCCAAGCACAAAACAAAGGTGGCCTTGCAGGGAAGAAACCAAGGTCAGAATGTGAAGCTTTGGGGGTCACTGAAAGGGTGCTGATTGCATCTTATTCCCAGGGAGGAGCTTGAGTACAGGTACTGCGGATGAGGGAGGCCTCCCGGAGACTAGTGTCTGAGAATCTAGTGTGAGCAGCGGCTGAGTGCCCAAGAGACATTCAGTTCAAGCTCAGACAAGGCAGCGGGCTTCTGTGAGGGCTCGAGGCGTTCAGCTGAGACCCTGAGAAGGCCACACTCTAGCACGAGGGTGCTGTCCCAAGAACCAGATGTTCACATGGAGAAGGGAGGGCTGAAATAGTCCACCTTAAGGAGCCTGCAGATGAACCACACAAGAATCTGAGCAGTCTGATGCTAATTCAAAGGTCTTCTGGAATAAGACAGCGTTCTCTAGGCAATGACAGCAGAATGCAGAGCCTCTATAACACATCACCCAGACTGTTAAGAATATAAAACAAAATGATAGGTAAAAATGTGTGAAGAAGTAACCATGGGCTGGTGAGATAGCTCAGCAATCTAAAGTATCTGCTTAGGCAAGCTTAGGAAGGTACAGGAGACCAAAGTTAGATCCCTGGCACCACATGCTGTGCCAGCCCTGCCCTCAGGGCAGACTGAGCCGGCCAAGAAAACCCCAAGATTGTGGCAGCTGACCCTGCTGCACAGGGCTGCAGAGTTCAGAGTGCAGTGTGCCTGTCTCACAACCCAGCCGTCCCTGTGCTGACACCGAGGTGGCTAGCCTCCCAGGGAGCCCAGAACTGGGGAGTTCCTGGGACACAGACTTCCAAAGCTGAACCTGGGGCATCCTGCTAAACCAGAACAAAGAGATTACTAGAGTTACTCAAAGATTACTAGAGTTAGGCAATAAGCACTTCAAGAAAGTCAGTTGAGGGCCGGCCAGATAGCTGTGCTCACTAAAGCACCTGCTTAGGCAGAACGCGGTGGCTGGAGTTTAATCCCTGGTGTAACATGCTGGCCCAGCCCTCAGGGCGCACTGAGACTGAGATTGAGACTGGGCATGGTGGCACATGCCTATAATCCCAGCACTTGGGAGGCTGAAAATAGGAGAATCACTACAAGTCTGATCTGTGTAGTGAGACCCTGTAGATCCTGCAGACCCTTTACCAAATACAATAATTAAAAAAAAAGTCAATTGTGATTAACAGAGGCCCAGTGTGGTCACCTACGCCGATAATCCCAGTACTTGGGAGGCTGAGGCAGAAGGATTGCTGAGTTTGAGAGTAAACTGAGCTACATAACAAGACCTTGTCTAAAATAATATTAATAGTGAAAAGATATCCAAAGGTTATTGGTAAAGAGCTATTAAAAATTGTGATATATGGGGCTGGGGAGATGGCTCAGTGGAATAAGCGCTTCCTTGGCAAGCGCAAGGGCCTGAGTTCAATCCCCAGTTCTGCAAAAAAAAAACAAAAAAAAAAAAAACCAAACAAACTGTGATATACTAAAAATAGCTAATATGATTACTACATTAAAATATTTTTCTCATTGAGGTAAAAATGAATAAAGTATAGTAATTCAAGTGATAATTAGAATCTATAAAAAAATGCGAATAGTGGTACACACCTATGATACCAGCACTTGGGAGACTGAGGCAGGAGGATTACCATGAGTTCAATGCCAGCCTGGCCTACTACTTTTTATTTGTTTGTTTGTCTCAAAAACAAACAAACAAATAAAAAGAATCTATAAATAAAGAATATTTCATGGTAAATCCTGAGGAAGGGAAATAATAAAGAATAGACATTAAAATTCAACACATGATATCTAAAGCTAACAGTTCATTGGGAAGGTTTAAAAGCAGACTAGATGCAGGGGAACCACAGACC